ATGGTGATCTGACGAGAAATTCTCAAGGTGACGATAAATCACCTTTTCAGCGAGCTTAGAAGGAGCTGACAGCAGACTAATGGGACGGTAATCCTGGGGGAATATCGAACCTGCCTTCTTTGGGATCATGATGACTTTAGCGACCTTCCACACCTTAGTAAAGTAATGAGTTCTGAGCATTGCATTGATTATTGCCACCAGATAAGTCAAAGCCTTGAGTGAAAACAACTTCAGTGCTTTGTTGGTGTTTTGATCCTCTCCAGGTGCTTTACGCACCTTTAGGTCCTTAATGTGGCCTTGGAGCTCTGCTGGTGTGCAAAACGGAATCTCAGAGGATTCCGTTGATGTGCTATGCTGAGATTCATCTGAAGAGTCTTCCGTAGAAGAATCTTCTGAAAAGGAGTCACCGATGCTAGCACAGATGTTGGTATCGCCATTCGCTCTGAAGTATCTCCTGACAGATCTTACAACTTGTCGTTCCTCGTCAAGGTCATTGTCCAGATCATAATTGGGAGAGAACTGCCTTTCCATGACGTCAGCAAAAACCTCCACTTTATCCTCAGTCCTGAAAACTATGCCTCCAGGACCATGAATATGTGGTAGTTGTTCTTGCCTTCCGTTTCTGTCCGATTTTGCGACTTTCCAGAGAGGAATACTTGATTCAAGCATCCCCTCCAGAATGTCGCTCCTCTGCTCATTGCGGAATTCATGGAGTGCATTTCTCACTTCATGGACGAGATTCGTCGCTCTACGAATGTCATCAGGATGACAAGACGTTTTTGCTTGCTTAATCGCAGCCCTCTTTTCAGAAATTTTCCGACTAATGTCAGCAGGGAGAAAAGGTCTGCCATGTCGCTGCACCGGAAGCACAGCAGCACGCTGTAGAGTTTGGTGAACGAAACTTGTCCACTCCGATTGAGTAGCATCAATTCCGTTCTCATCATGTATGACCGGGACGCTGGGAAACTCTTTGAGAAATGACTTGTATAGTTCCCAATCAACTCTTTTCCTTGGAGGAGTTTCCTCCTCCACGAAATGCCCATTAACTACCTCCAGAACAACAGGTAGATGGTCACTAGAAATGTCATACAAGATCCTAGAAGCAATACTGAACCTACAGTTTTTAGATATTGCAAAGTCTATAACATCCGGTGCCTGAAGGTGATTGAAAGGATGGTGTGTCGCCTCTTCGGCGCTGTGAATAAGATACCCGTTTCGCATCACATAGTTGTAAAGCCGAACCCCACAAGTAGAGTTAAGCCTTGAGTGCCATGATCGGTGTTTGCAGTTGTAGTCCCCTGCCGCAATAGATGGCCCGAACAGTCCAGAAGGACTTCCAAGTCCTCCTCTCGCAGCCTGGCACCGCACCTGACATGCACCGAGGTGATCTTCATCGGAATGCCGCCATATTGACTACCACGGACGCCGCTCCAATGCTTTGCATCTCGGTGTTTGTGCCTCTGTGATAGTCAGTACCACGTTTAACGAGCACTGCCAAGCCACCACCCCTACCATTCAATCTGTCTGCTCGTATAACATCATAATTCGAGAAAGCTAAGCGATCTCCCGGATTAAGTAATGTTTCCTGCAGCAGAGCTACGTCTATACTCTCATCCAATAGAGTTTGATGAAATTCCCGTTTTTTGGGAATATCCCTTAGGCCCACACAATTCCAAAAAAGAATTTTGATAAATGCAGGTTGTCTATTGTACTTAGCCATTCAATGGCTGCGGAAAGATCGCCTGCAATGCCTGAATGGCGCTAATTAGGGGACTTATTATTTGTTGAAGGGACCGAAGCGCAGTTGCTAGGTCCACATTCTGCGTGTTCAAACTGGGTTGAACAGAGGGGGCAGCCGAAGATGTTGACACGGCTGCCTCCGCGTATGACTTGCTGCGTCTTTGCGCTATGACTTCCAGATTTCGCCTGGGGGTGAATCTGCAAGTGGGACTGTTAGCGGGATGCGCCCCTCCACAGTTCGCACACTTTCGCTCCTCTTGTCCTGTGAGGGGGCATACATGTGTCATGTGGTCGGAAGCACATTTTAAACATTTGGGAGGTGCTGTGCAGTAAGACTGCGCATGACCATACTTTTGGCAGCGGTGACACTGCCCAATAAGTCTAGAGTTCTTTTGAACTTCAACTCTGATTGCTAGACCCAGCAGCTCATGTTCATTGAATAGCTGCTGGGACTTTTCAATCTTGGGCAGTATCACGACCAACAAAGGCATGGGTGCGCCGCTACTTGAGTCCTATAATGTGGAGAGGAGTATATCCCCTCTGTTCTGATTCCCCTTTGATCTCCTGTTCCGTTTCAGTTTTCGGCAAAATCCTGATTCCCGCATCAACGGCAACTGCGCGTTCTATCTTAATGCCTAAGCTTATAAAGGTGTAGTTTAGATGTCGCCACTTGGTCGCATCACGCAAAACAATGTGCTGTGCTGGTCAACTCGCCAGCAACGTGAGATTGTTGAGATAATGCACAGTCAGTCGATGCAGTGGCCAAAGATTGAGAAGATGTGGTCGCTGCATCGACCGTCATAGGACAAGTGGCAGAAGAAGTTGATACGTTTAATGAAGCAGAAGGTTTTGAGGGGACTGTCAACTTGAATTTTGATTTTGGAAGAGGTGGGAAGTCATCCGTCTTGTCGGTTTTGTTAGTTTTGTCGATGCGTCTTTTCCTAGACTTGGCCTGGATGAATCCGTCATTCTGTATTTCATCGTCGGTCGATGTCACGTCAGTTAAATTTTCAAGAGGTCTTTTTAAATTGACAGCCTTGTCAGATTTAGATTTAAAATTTGCATTATTGATTAACTGTGTTACCTGGGTGGTCAGGCACTCTATTTTACTGTTTTGGTCCCTAACTGTCTCAGTCAGCTCCTTTATTTGCTGGGCCTGGTTTTCGATGATCAGGGTCTGGCGCTGGATGGTTCTGTCCTTTTCGTCTGGTACAGCTGGTGTCATCAATTCCTTTGATTTCATGGTCTCAGTCAGCTCCTTTATTTGCTGGGCCTGGCTTTCGATGATAAGGGTCTGGCGCTGGATGGTTCTGTCCTTTTCGTCTGCTACAGCTGGTATCATCAGTTCCTTTGATTTCATGGTAATTTCTGTTCTCTCCTTCTGGCTGGGTCCATTCATCATCGGGAACCCCAGCGTACTATGACCTCCAGAGTCTATCTCCATGTTTGTAAATCGGATTTTCTATTGAAAAACTTTCACGAGCAAAAATATGACGTATTGTCAATTATTCCTTATACAGGGCGAATAATGAATATTGTTCGCGCGATAGTAGACCACCAACCAAAATGCGATCTGGCCGTAGTAAAGTCAATATACAGTGTCGCCGAAAATGAAGATTCATCCGTTACACGCAGTTCACAACAATTGGGGGTATCCAAAATGACAACGTGGCGTATTTTACGGTGTGATCTCGGGCTACATTCATATAAAATGGTATTGACACAAGAACTCAAGCCAACATACCATCGGGTGCGCCATGAGTTTGCTGATTGGGTCCTGGAAATGATGGAAACAGATCCAGAATTTCATCGCAAAATCTTCTCTGGTTGAACGGATATGTCGACACACAAAATTGTTGTTATTGGAGTGATTCAAATCCAAGAGTGGTCCATTATCACACCATTACATTCACAAAAATTGACGGTTTGGTGCCGATTGTGGTACGGTGGCATCATTGGCCCGTACTTCTTTAAAAACGACCAAGGCCGTACGATTACTGTTAATGGCGAGCGTTAGCGTGAAATGTAAGAACGAATTTGTTTTTGCTGCAGTTCAAGAAATTGATACAAATGACATTTATTTTCAACAGGATGGTACAAAATACCATACTGTAACCGAAACAATGGATTTACTGCATGATAAACTCGGCATTATTTCACGAAACGGACTTCACATTTCTCCGCCAAGATCGTGCGATTTAACAACTTTAGACTTTTTTGTGGGGGTATGTTAAATCTAAAGTGTATGCCCAGTAATTCAAGACCTTGAACATAAAATTCAATTATTAACTATAGAGGCCATATCAGCACACAGTCATCGAAAGTTGGTGTGTCCGGATCAACCAGTGCAAACAGAGCCATGGCGTTCATTTGGACGGTATATTGTTTAAATCATAAATGGCATAAAATATATTATCAAATAAAGCCAATGAGTATGCAAATTGATCAGATTTCAGTTTCAAATCATATCGTTCTTATTGGGAAACCCCTTACGTTTTTTGAGTCGCTGAAGCCGAATCCGTAAGTATTCCGCTTTTTTCATCATACTGACAAGAATATAATTATCGAAAAACGACTAATAAGGAATCTCCGAAAATTGATGCGCGTCTATGATCTTGATGGAAGCTTGTTTTGTAGGTAAATCGGGTGCGTAGATTCCAAATTCGATGTCAATTTAGTGCAAGGGTTCAGGAGTGGCCCACGGTAAGTACTTTTTTTACTGATTTTTCACCCCTTATTTGGCACTATGACTTTTAAATGTTGTTTTAACGATGATATTCAAATTTAGCGCTCAAAATTATCTGAATGTATAGAGCATCGTCTGCATATAGCTACCGATAAAGTAAATAGACTTTTAGCACAAAAAATTTGCAAATGTCGCTCACTTTTGCAATTTTACACTAAATAACAGAATACATGCCAAACGGGATCAGATACATGCGAAACGACTTGAAAACTAGCTTAAAATTAAAATCCATGTCCTTGCCGAGTAAGGCCAACAAATTCTGCGATACAGATGTAGAAGGTGACGATTTCTATCCTCACATAGGTTTTTTCTTTATATTATTTTTATTCTCCTTTATGTTTTGAACATCGAATCTAACGGACATAAGAAGTTAAGTGTAAGAGTAGCCTTGGCTAAACTTCGCTCTTATGTCTCTCTTGGTTTTTTGTATTTGAATAAAGACATTATTTTATGCAACATCTACTGCTGGTAGCAGGAAAGGTATTCCGGATGGGTTAGAAAAAAAACCTCAATATCATATTTACTAGTTTATCATACAGCGAAAATATCCGTGTATACAATTCCATATCATTACTAATTCGCTCCAAATGCGTTGTGGTTCAGTTTCCCACAAGCCCTTATCAGTTCTCCGTCCAGTAGCAGAAATACACCGGGCGTGAGAATGACAAGGGTCTGGGAGAAAACCCTCTGATAGCTGAACGTACACAATGCATGCTCTCCTTGTTTGACGCATATGGAGGATGCCCATTTTGTTGTCCTGAGCATATCATGGCTCGCGGAGTTCTCAGGATGTTGCGAACCTCCGGTTATTGTAGGGCGGACACGTCACCTTACTCTGTAAAGATAAAACGAGAAAGGTTAGATGGAGGTCATAGAAGGAAAAAAGAGAAAATCATAGTTTTATAGAATGCCCTTTTAATTTCGGTAAACTAGATTATGTGCAATTCCGCGCTCAATTTGATGAGTGATTCTTATACAATGGCTTTTCTAAATGGTCCCCCACTTATTAGTTGAACGCATCAAGTTAGCAAAACCGTAATTCGGTGTAACGCATTGACGCATAAATGCTATACTGCTGTACTTAGGTAAAAGGCATCAAAGTTCATTTACTGCCTTTTTAAATTTTGACGTCAATACATTTATTTTATTATTACAATTACAAAATATATCATTGATTACGTAGTTCAACAAAAATAGATAGTTTTTCACTTATTTGATATCAACTACAATTCCTGTGCATAAAAGCAGTAGACTAATTCTTCAAAGCAAGAAAACAGTATTCTTCAAACTACTCTATTCAAAAAAATTAAGGCAGAAGACAAAAATCCCAATTTTTCGGTGATTTTTGACAGGCAATATATCGGTGAAAAATGGTCGTATCTAGACTAAAAAAAGCGTTTTGAGGAGCAACGGTTTTCATGCAATCCTAACAGATAGCAAAAGTAAAATGTTTGCCTTCTTTTTTAGTCCATGAGCTTGAACTTATTTCTGTTCGGCCATCATATGGATCAGGTTTATTCAGCTTCAATATTTAATTTTGCTGGGTAGTGATACTGCTTTTATTCTCTGTAAAATACAAGTACTACTTTTTACCCTTTCACAACCTATTATAACTGTTTCCTCGTTGTAAATCACACTTTTCGTCTGTGATTTTGCTTAACTTTATGAAAACAAAAGTTATTCGTAAAATCTGAAAGTTGCTCCCCAGCTATTATGATTAGCCTTTAGGATCTTACGCGTGAAATTGCACGATTTTAGTCTAGTATCAAAAGAGAATAGAATTGCAGTATTCCATAGAATAACTAAGAATCCAATCAGGGTCATCTTTATCTGTTAAATGTGCTGGAGCTCCTACAAAATACGAATACAGGTTTGGTTCCACTAATTTTATTTCTCAAGCCGTTACTTTTAATAAAACACCTGGAACAAATTCTTGCATATTTGGGTTATTATTCTTCACATTTCCGACTATTTACATCAAGGATTTACAAAAAATAGCAAAAATAGTTGAGTTACAATTAATTATTGTGAAGGGATAGATTTGATTCAAAAAGTGGAGGGACGCTTTCTATCCGCGAAACGTGTGATATCCCCCAGAACATTATATCCCCAAAAAATTCCCCAAACAAAAATCCCCTAAATTTGGGGGCATATCCACCAAGACGACAGCAATGCCGTTTTCTCTTGGTATATACGCTCCGTGACTCATATATTAGCGCGAAAATCTTGGAGGTGGCGAGACGAAACTGAAGAAAGTCCATGAACATGGAATGTGTGCGGGGGATGGATGTATGAAAGTGATACCACTAGTTTTACTGTCCACAACATTTATGAGGTAGTACTTTTGTGTGATGTAATCCTTCCTTTAAGTGATGCTAGGCTTCATCCTGAAAGATGCGCTCTAGCATCTCATGTTAACACAACAGGGCATTCTATGAATTACACAAGTATCAAAGTTCTTGATAAAGAAAAACACCTTTCCAAACGTTTATTCCTGGAAATGTCCCACATTTTCATGAATAACAACTGTATCAACAAAAAGACAGATGTTAAACAACTGAGTGTCATTTACTCATATTTGCTAAACTGCGAAAAATTGGAGAACTTACATATCTCCCCAAATTTCGACTTTTCACAACCATAAATATAATCTGTGTTTTGGGCGATTCCACCAACAAATTTCATTCCACTCAAAATCTAATAATTCTCTTCTCACGATTTATTAATAATTGTTAATTTAAAATTCCCATTAATTAAAATATAGTTTATTCAACTGCCTCTGGTCGGTTTAACAATTTCTTACATAACATTCTGAAAATCACATCATCTGAAGTGATTTGGCAACGTTTGGCACACGCCCACAATTCGTTCCATCTTTCAACACAGACATTGCCAACCTTCGGCCTTCTGTCAAAGGTTCATCTCACTCATTATTCCATGACCACCATTTTGTGCAATCATCAAGTGGCTTCACGACGTAATGCTCTAATGTTTTTTTAAATAATTTTTAATCTGTTTTTAACTTGTCTTGTCATATTTTATATAATTTTGACCATTGTACCATGTATCCAGCTCTCACCATGTTACTGGACGTTTCCCTCATCCTATACGTAAACAACAATTAGCAACATCCTCACATACTACTGTAAGTTGAGTCAATTTAAATTCATTTTACACTTGTTGCTACTGTTATCATTGTAATTGCAGCTCCTGATGATGATGGCAAAGTCCATTGAAAGCTAGAGAGAATTAAAAAAAGTATAAAGAGTCCTCTTTGCTTAAATTTTGTCGAAGTACCCAACAAAAGGCGGAAGCTTTAATTTTTCACCTAACTGGTCTAGACGACAATGACCACGTCTCAAGTTATATATATATATACATATTGTCAAACATACTTTTTTGTAATGGTGGAAGTGCAGCGCCAAAAAAATTATTGATTTTTCTCAATTTTCTTCATTGCATCTGTTTCCTCCTCTCCTTCTCCTACATGTGGCATATATCATTGCCTTTGTATATAGTATATATAAAATATGTCTCATATGAGCCCTAGCCGTATCTTAGATGCCATAAATCAAATGACGCATACACTGCGACTTACAAGAAAGTATTCGGACAGCTTTTATAGATAATTGTATGCTCTACAATTTTGGTGTAAGCTATTTTTGCGATGACTCGTACCGGTCCAGAGAAATGTAAATAAATGTAATTTTGACATGTACACTCCAATTGAGAATTTCGCGCTCCAATGATATGTGTCAAGTTTTGATATATTGTTCATAGTACTGTATTTAAGGTATGTATCTATTTTCAGCTTTGTGGGAATTTTTCCAAACCTAATTTTTCTTTTAACTGTTGTATAATGGTAAATTCAAATGTGTCAGCCTTTGGTTATCAAATAAATGTCTTCTGAGCCGAACAGTCACAGTTGCTCAGTTAATGAGACTCCTCCAGTAGCAAAAATATAATTACTTCCCTTCAAGTGTTGTCAAAAAGGGCGAGGCGGCATTGAAAAAATTTAATAATTCAGTCGGGAGTGTTAAAAAGGGTAACTAGGTGGATGGAATCTGATGGTGAGACGACGGTTTCCGTTAATTAACGTTTATGATTTCGTTAAATGCGCCGTCAGCTGAATGTGCTTGCTCTCTGTTGGCTCTCATCTCTGCAGACACAAAGGTACTAGCACAGCTGCGAGGCGTAATTAGACGAGCGTATTTGTGTTTTCTGTAGATGGTGTAAAGATGGGCTTCAGGGCTATACTATTTTTTTATACTGAAGCTGCCGAGTACGCACAAGCCTAAATACCAGGACACCGTGGCTGCTATGAGGTGCTTAGAAACTTTCTTAAGCCGATTTTTAGATTACCTGAGCCTAGTAGAACCGGGAAAAACTTCCTCAGGTAGATTGTTCCACAATCTCGATTCCCTAGGGACAAATGAGCGATCGTAGCGTTTTGTTCGTTTTAAAATGAATATTAATAATAGAAAAAATGTTTCTATACGTTGTCTTGTTGCTTATCAATCGCACTTTATACCACATTCAATTAGACAAAGTTATGTAATCGTATACAAATGCTAGTAACATTTTTTCGTGAATATTTTTACACCACTAACAAATAGCTATCTTATATGAAAAAATTTCTTCCACGATATTATGGTGAGAAAATAGATATGTCATCAAATAAAAAAAATGCACAGTATTGTGAAAATTCATGATTATAAGCATTGAAGACGTGAAAAGACGGTAATAGACGCATTAGAGTCTTTCTTAGACTAAAAGAGGCTGATTCATACCACGAAGATATTTATTTACCGAACATTATACCTATACCAGGTAATAATATATGACTGTAAGCACAAAATGAAAAAATAACCCTTCCACTCCTTGAGAAATAAAAGGGTCATTTTTTTAGAATTGAAATTGTCATTTTTTAAAAAATTTCTTAAGAAATGAAAGGGAAATTTTCTTATTCAAACTGAATGCTAACGCACTGTTTCATAAGCATTACGCAGATGGTCATTAAAAGGATATAACAACAGTCTGATTTCTTGTTATTAATTTTATATCCAGACGCGATGAACAAAATAGATACTAGAGCTGATTTTTGCGGAGGGGGGGTACCATTACTTAAAGCCGCCACTGTTAGGGACGCAGCCAGCAATCTGGTACATTTTAATCCTTCCAAAACACAGACTATATAATAGCGCTCATCCGGTTTTGATAGATGGCCGATTTCTACCAAAGTGCTGTTCATTTCGGAGTTCAGATCCCCGAGGACTTGATTTGGTACGAACATATCTCGTCAATAGCGGCAGCTACTGGGAAAAAGCTAGACTATTTGCGTAGGGTTAAGAAGTAATGTTCTACAGATATCCTCCTCACTCTTTACAAGGCCCAGGTAAGACCTAGCCTTGAGTACTGCTCACACGTTTAGGGTGTTGCCGCTCAGTGTACGGCGTTCCGACTGATCGACGATTCTTATCTAACAGAGAGTCTGGGAACCCTTTCGCACCAATGAGCCGTCCTGTATTTGTAAACTTGCCGGTGAGTCAAAATTGAAGAGGGGGCTGGCATCAAATGCTGAAATGCTGCCATATAAAAATTTGAAGAGAGCAGGTTTGCACTAAATCAAAAATTAAGGAGCGGGGAGAGGGGACAAAGTGTTCTATTCTTGTGTTTTGTTATTATATCAGAAATATACAATTTACGAATTGGATAAAATGTTCGGTACATTTCGCATTAAAATCCGTAGTTCGGTAGAATACGACTACCGAAAAAATATGGCGTCAAGTTGGTTGACTGCATTTCATCCGCTACGCTCTGATCAGTTCGGCACAAGTTGCCCCTCTGAGAAAAAAGTTAGCTACGAACATGTATAACAAAAAAATCAAATGGGTCAAGTTAGTCAAACAGATCAAATTTGCATATTTACCATGTTTTTTTTTTGTACAATTTTGGGGCTCTTTAGGATATCCTCATCTGAGAAAATATGCTCTCAATGGCTCTTCAGAAGGGTTTGGAGGCAGTTACGCTTTCACACAAAAGTTATCTCATGTAGATGGATGGCCCTCCCCCTTCCCCTGAGAAAAATCCCTGCGGGCGCATATGACCGAAGCTATGTGTACATCAGGCGTGGATGATGGTCGGTTCACATCCAGACGAGCATCGAATGCCACTGCTACAACACAGATGCATCGGTAGCGTATGATCGAGTTGCGAGGCTCGGAAATATTAATTTCTCCCCACGTTTTAAGGATATAATTTACGGAAAAATCAAGGATGGGTGAAATATGTTTAAAAGTGTGCGTAGAATTACCACGGCTGAAGGCGTATAAAGAATACCACTGTCAAAAAATTGAGATATATCCTCCCCCGCCCTTTACAACCCCGCACTTCCAAATTTTTTTCCAAAATGATTAGGATCCTCTGAAACGTAAAGAAACGATTTTTAAAAACTATAAAGCTTTTCCGTCCTTGGCATAGTAGTAATCTTGTTTGAAAATTTCTTCAAAACCCGACCGGTACCTTCCAAGTTATAGGGAGTTCAAGGGGATTAGCGGACAGACAGATCGACCGACGGAAATGAGCGACATGGTTTTCCGTGATGTGCATGTCATATAACATACAAAAAACAAAATATTTAATTTTCGAAATCTTTCGCTATTACAATACCTCCAAGCCAGTGGAGTAGAAAGTGAAATCGGTAGACCTGGTAACACTGTATCCATGTCACGCTTTGCAACCCTCTAAGCAATAAATATCAATCGCACATCTAATTCCCATTCAGGTGTGAATATCAACGAACGGCGAGTGGCAATACACGACAGTGGCAGTGTATCCCCTAAATTCACGGAGCGCTCCATCCGATCTGCTTCTGACATGGAGAAGACACCAAACACAGCCCTTGGAATCAAACCGTATCTGTTCCAAACATGTGCCTTGCCACCGATGATACAGTTATGAATTATTAATGGACAATTTGACACATCTCTCTGAATTGAATATGCAATTCTGTTGGTGCTTACCCGGTGGCCCTGGCAAGAATTAACATAAATACATAAGCATTATATCTAGTCACTGCGCGAGTTGGTGACAACCGCGTTTATAGTATACACCATTTGCAATTTACTCATATGGCCTTGTCAAAGAAATCATATAAATGGACTATGGGAGAACTCAATTCTAGGGGTTCACTACTTGCCTTGATTTTCAAGCTATTTGACTTGAGCTTGACTTGATTTTAGGAGTGTAAATTAAGTCAAGTAGTTTTAACGTCAAACATTTCATTTCTCTCCAAACGAAAAATAAATCACGAAGTACTTTTAAAAAAGATCTGGATGCACTCGCGAAGCCTCGGTAGCATTTCGAAGACACCGTATATTGGTGTATGAGTGTGTAATTTTTGTTTTTGTTTTTTCAGAACCGATGTGTTGTTTAGTTTATCAACGCGACCAGCGCCTGAATTGAGTACTGATGCATCTTGGACTTTGGTGTATATGTTACTAAAAAATAACTGCAAATTTCTGTACATTTTAGTGCTTTCGTGTTGAGATATAACAGAAATATAGCATCGTTTGATATTCGAGAATGACTATTTCCTAGTGTCCACTCAAGGGGGTGTGTATTTCCGTAAACATGAACCTATTAACATTTTTTTGTGATCTCCGTAACATAATCTAATCTGTATACAACAATTGTTCTTACCTGTGTAAGCCAAATGAGTTAAAAAGTAGTTCAATCGACTCTTGATTTTCCGTCTGTGGACGCTTTTCGAGCTGCTATGATGATAACTCGTATCTATCAATTGTTCAATCTGAAACAAGTAATGTTGCTTGAGTGAACCTTCTCCTACTCATTTGTAACACATTTTTCAAAATTCATAGGATTATCGCTCATCGATATGGTCTAGACAAGTATTATGTCCCCAATTTCAAACGTATATCCATTAAAAAAATGGCAACATGTAGGTTCACTCTTCCCTTCCCACGCAACGCCGTCGCCAGTTCATATAGGATTATATTCAGCACAAGTTAGACTCTCTGAGAAAAACATTAGTTATGAACATGTATAACAGAGACATTAAACGAATCAAGTCAGTCAAACAGGCCTAGCGGTAGTTCAAGGTCGCCTCTCCCCGATGTCAAAATGCATAACGCGTAAAACGCGAGTTACGCCACTGGAAATGCATAGGTTCGAAGAAAGAAGACGCTGCATCAGCTTTTTCCATTCTTATCTTACACACACACTTGCATTGTTATTCAGATTCACTTTGCTTTTGCTACAATCAACTCTGTAATTCTTCTCAATAAAAATTTTGTTAGCTCGGTCTGAAAACAAGTATTTTGAGGTTTTTTTAAAAACTCATCGACGCAAGCTCCCGTCCTAACTCGCGGTAGCCCGTCAGTAAGGCCAGAACACTTACCAAGACCGGCACGCGCGCCAGTAATCTCAGGCAGCAAAAGCTTCTTTAAGGGTCAAATGTACGGGGGAAATCTATGATGTGTGGAATATGTCTGATAGGTGCATAGAATCATATGGGCTGGGAGCGTATAAATATAATTACGACAGAAAAATTGAGATATACCCTCCCTCACCCCCTACGACACGCCACCGCCAACTTTTTTACCCCTTAAAAGTTTTTCAAAAATGATCAGAATCCTTTGAAACGTCAAACACCGAAGTTTGAACGATTTTACTTAATATTTTGTTTTCATTTTGATTAGAATTATTTATTTCAATTTTGATGCGACTTAGTGTTTTAACTTATTTTAGAATTATCTTTGATTCCCACCGATGGTGATAAAGTCAACACATCCTGAGTTATTGTTACATTTTGCGACAGGAAGCGGCCGAGAAATGTAAAAAATACCATTACGCAATACAAATCACTGCCTGCAGGTTAGAACCATTTCGAAGCTGGACGACACTCACCAATGAGCGCTAGATGGGTACTGACCAGTACTGACCAAATCGCTCATCTATGATCATAGAGGTGGAAACCTTGTCTTGGAATTTATGAGGTGCGGTGTTGCCAAGCGAACCAAGGATGTAATGTTGCAGAATTTGAGGCGATCTTGACCTTTCATTTCGACTTTAAATGGAGCGCCGTTAGTACCGATCTGGAATAGGTCCTAATCAGATTCGACGCAATTCGCTATTCAAAAATGTGTACGCTCAAAATAAAACCATTATTTGGGCGTGAAGACTAAACTACCGCATACTTTCAACATGCATCTTAATTCAAGGAATTGGTGTAACATATTGGTAATGCTGCAGATTACCGCGTCAGCATTGCTAGGCAACGCGGTAATGAGCTTCGCTATCCAACCGGCTTCTATCCCTTTCTAAGATTCGTGTCTATATACACTTCTCTCTCGTACACATTGAATTCAAGCCATCAGACAAATTTGGTTCTCAGTGTATACTGTATGTGTACATAACACAGACGTCTGAGGGTAAACTATTGGGACAAGTGTTTAATACGAAACACAAGTCGGGTCACAACATCAGAATAGGAAATACGCAAGTTTATTTACGTTAATATAATACCGTAAACGTATATTTCATTCTGCGCAGTGACGTCACAACTTATCGCTTGCCATCTTATTCTATGCTTGAATAATTTGCGGTCAAGTTTTGAAATGTTCTATATTTTTTTTGTTGTTTTTCCGACGTTGCCTTGACGGTGAAATTCTTCGCTGTCAACCGGTGTTGACATCTATGTTGAATAAGGGGCATAATTGTAGTTGGTAGTTGTAGTTAGAGTCAGTATCCTTTAGGACTGATCAAACTGATTGATGAATTAATGATAGCGACAAAAGATTGGCTGCTATCGTGACGTTACGTCAATAGCGTTGCGTTTCGATATTTTAAATATGCTGTTTGTTTTTCTCAGTTTATTAATGAATACTCGTAACTTTCTACCAAATAAGTATAAAATAAGGGTGAAGGTAGATTTCTAAAGCAATATGCTATAGACTGCAAATGAAAATAAATAACCGATATTTGAATCATATGCATATTCCATACTTGTATGCAATTTAAAATTTTGCTGGATCCTCGGAACTGGGTATTCAAAAAGTTTTCTCTTAGCATATCAAACAAGGTTCTATAAAAAAAGGACAGTGCATGTTTATTTATTATTATGGCAATTTAGTTATGCAGAGACATGTCCAAAGTAATTCTACGCATAGAATACAAAAGAGACTGAAAGTTAAGGGTTTCTTGGGCGCTCTTTTTGGCGAAATAAAACTAATTTGTAAAGCAGCTTCAGCTACAGAAAAGTCACTCCCAAGACGTTCAATTTCATCTCACTCATTAAGTCAGAATTTGATAATCATTTAGAAAAAACTGGAAGGCAAATAAACGTATGATTCGACTCTAGCAATGTACTACGATACTGATTCACTGATTCAACACGAGCCAGATTAAAAACATAAGGAGTTGGAACATCCACTTTACTATGGAAATAAATTTTTCTTTCGGAAAATGTTCACCGTTTTAAAATGGGATCAACCTATCAATGGTGGTAATTTTATCTTTTCTGCATTTGATAGATATCGTCACGTGTTTGAGAGTTTACACTTATAGTCTGGTTTTTCAACTGCATGGTAATTTTCAAGTTAGATAACTATCACTACGAAGATAGTACCTAATCATCCATATGCTATTTTTTCCAAGTTTTTGTTAATTAAACCATTGCTGTTGATGCGGCAACTACGTATTGTGTTCTGCGCGTTTCGTGATGCTCGACGTTTGTGTCTCGTATCATCTGCGAAAACCCATGTCAGTGTCAAGCAAATCAGATTAGACATTGGCCACGTTAAACCTTGGCTAGCTGTATCAAATCAAAAAGTCTAGGTGCTTCGTCTTAAGCTCACACATTTATCTTTTATTTGCTCTTCTCGTTTCTTCCTTTCTTTGTCTTCCTTTTTTCTTGACACTGTCTGGTTTTTGGACAACCAGAAATTACAGATTCGACAAAAAAACATAAAACGTAACTAATGGGCAAAGGTCATACGGACCGCCAACAAATGACGAATAAACCGTGAGTAGACAAGCGCTTTGTATAAACATGTATACGGCAGCAATTCGACCAGAATATTTGATTGTTTCAAGGAAGGATTTCAACAGTTCTAGTAAGTAACGTGGAAAGACATCGTGGGAGTTTATAGAGGAAAAGTGAAAAAACATTGCTTGGTTTTAATACAACTCAGCTGATTAGACTATATTTTATATCAGCTGTTAATAACTGACAATGAGTATAACATGCTATTCCGGCCATATTGATATACAGGGTGTCCCAATATTCCGTATTCCGTATTTTTAGACTCAAATAAGTCGATTGGAGATGATTCGCCTCTATGCAAAAGTACTTCGTTTGCCCGTTAAAGGGCGTCAGGTTTCTTTTTAAAACATATTATAAAAGATTTTTGGAACTGATAGTCCGATTTGAATGGAATTTGGAACACATGTATTTTGCTGGACGTCCTGTTATTTGAATTTTACCAAAAACACGTAAGGGTTCAGAAAACTATCTCATCACTACATAAATTGTAGCAGAATTTTTTCGCATCTCTCCCAACGAGTCTGATTTTTTTTTAATTAATAGATCCCTTTATTTACCTCATTCTTTGTCTGCTTTAAAAACGAGCCATCTCACATAGTTTTCGAGAAAAAAATGTTTTTTCGGAGCTGGTTTCTATGTTATGTCAGCGTCAGATTACTTTTGACAACAAACTTTATAAAGTTTAAATCAATAAGTAATGTTCGAGTTGTTGTTGCTACTTGTTTTTTTAACTGTGGGAAATGATTCAAATTGCTGCAAATATATTAAAGAATAATGACATTCTAGAGAAAGTTGACTAGAACTTTTAAGCTCTATATTATTTTGTACAGGAACGAAAATGGTCTTAATATTGAACACCTTTTATGAAAGCTTCGCACTATTGCCAGTATTAAATGTTTTTATAGGAGATAAAAAATTCAGTAAATAAAAATATCTGCTAAATAAAAAAAAATCAAGAGTCGTCGGAAAAGTTGGCAAACATTCTGCTATAATTTATGTAGGGGTGGGGGTAGTTTTCACCCTCCTCGAACTCCTTAGAATTTTTTGTAAAAGTCAAATATTAGAACGACTATCAAAACCTACGTGTTCAAAATATCATTCAAATCTGACTATCGGTTCTTAAAATATCGTGAAAAATGTGTTTAACGGACACGAAGCATATATTCTTAGAGGTAAATCATGTCCAATCGACTGATTTTGAGTCTAAAAATACGTGGTACTTCTATGTGCACGGAATATTGGGTCACCCTGTATATACAAGTATCTGATATGTTTTCCTCCAATTCATGTATCCTTTTCAGCCAATTCGCCTCAACCAGTTGCTCCACGCAGCTTAAAGACTCTTTCCATAAGATGTATGCGTCTCCATAAACGGATTTACTACCCTTTCCGTCATTTGGTTGCAGCTCAGATTTATGTATGTTGAAGGCTACTTTTAAAATGTAGACGGTTTCCTCTTTATGGCGCTTTGAGGATTTTACTGCACAAAAATGGACGATTTAGATCGATTTGGAATGCCTTTGTGGACGTGTTACATATCGGAAATATATGTAACCTCCAGGGATCGGATCGTACTGAAATGATATGATGGCTTTTCGTAACAGCTTGCTGGTGAATGAAGTTATGGTTCTATCTTTGAAATTTTTAGATTGAGGGTAATTTTCCTTATAGAGCTTTCATCGCTACGAGGGTGTTCCCTACTCAAATGGACATAATGAAATGATAGATATTGTAGACCCAGAGCCAGGGTAATTTTCCTTACAGAGCTTTCATCGCTTTTCATATCTGAAGATAAGAACCTTCTAAATTCAGTTTTTACGAACATACAGGCTGAGTTATCTAAACAGGCCAATTTTGTTGAAATTTTGCAAGATAATAAAGTAACGTGAAACTAAACGGAAGGTTAAAAATCTAGGGCCGCCCTCGATTTTTTGCATAATATGTTTTTATCAAATCAACAACTTTTAAGCTAAATATTGAAATGTTTCACTACGCACAAAAATCCAATGAATGGTGCTAATTAAGTAGCAAAATAGATTGATTGCGCCTTTGGTTTTTAGTTAACAATTCTTATATATATATATATATAGCGAGGGTCCTGCGGCTGCTACCGCTTCTCGCACCTCAATCGCCATTCTCTTCTGTTTTCCCAATCTCTTTCATTCATTTCCCGTTTCCTCCTGGCTTCTTCTATTTAACAATTCTTATTTGTCCAAATATTTTATTTTCAGAATTTTATGTAACACAAAACACAAAAGCGGCAGAATCTCACGTAGGATTATGAAATTACAAATTCAGTCCAGACCGACCGAACAGTGGCGATTTTTCAGTGCTCGGTTTAGTTTCGAAAATGAAACTTGTAATAGAATTAGAGGAAATGTTTGCTTTGAACTAAATCAGATTTATCATCCTTAAAACGTACAGCGAGTCAACTGGCTAAGAAAATATGATATTTCCAACATATCCTAAACAATGTAAAGGGCGTTAAATTACTTTGGCCTTTTGAAAAGACTATGCATTTTTGAGAGCGAGGTACTGTCGCTGACAAGCTAAAAATTGACTCATCTCCATCGAATCTTTCTGGAACTTGCTGCGAGTATAGCGTGAACCTTCATACCACCTTACGTTGCCTTAATGAAAAATGGCCATGTAATAAAAGGGGATACACTAACAGAACGTTATCTATCCAATAACAATTAAACGTTGTATTTCTGCCCGTCGTAATTTTAACGATGTATAACAAGCGATCAAGAGTCAGTGTTGTCCCATGGAGCAATAAATAGAGTTAAATTGGAGACAAGGGTTGAGAATGGCGATCGGCGACACGCGATCAATGAAAAAACAAAGAAGGCGGCTTGGATGTCAAGGGAAGGGTCCATGGACGATTGGAGATAGGAGGTTATACTGCTTCTACTCTTTTTAAACGCAGTTTTTCCCACAATGTTGCAATTACACTGGTGAACAAAATTAAAATATTTTTTTTGTGACATGTACAAATCAAGGTGGTTATTATGTAAAACGTACCCAAAAAGCCGGAAATAGCATTCGATTTTTTCTATCACCCACGGTTTTCTTGCAATAAGGCATTTATTTGCTGCTTATACTCGTAAAATATAAGGATATGTGTGTAAAAGTACTAATGTTGCTCCTGAAGTATCTCTAAACAATGTCTAGCAATAATCAGCAAGCAAATTGACACTCCATTTGCATTGATACCATTTTTCCATTGCAGAAATGCCTTGGTGGAACACTTCACCATGTTCATCACTTACCGCACCTAAATTTTCCTGGAAAAAATTGAGATGAGAATCCAAAAAGTGAATTTATAGAGACATGTTACATCCCATTACTTTATAAGCATTAATTAGTTCACTCACAATATCTTTATAATTGTCCGCCTTCACATTGCCTAAACAATTTGCAGTTAAACTGATTTAAGAGCCTCCAAGCTCGTAATTCAGTTTCATTTAGAGCACTGTCAAATACATCATCCTTCATGATTTTCCGTGTTTTTGGACTCACAAATATGTCGTCTTTAATTTTTGCCTCACTAAGTCTCGGAAATCTTTGTTTTAAATGCAGAAATCCTCTTCCATTTCGATCCATAGCTTTCACAAAATTTTTCATTAGTCCCAACTTAATATGCAATATTTGGTATATCCCAGTTGCATTCGAAGAATGGCTATTATCTTTAAATCTGCACGTATGGCCCATCCATATTCATTATAACAGATATGCTCTAACAGAACTCACATATTGTCATATGATTCCTTCATATGAACTGCGTGCGCTATAGATACAGATGGATATTTATTACCGTTGTGTACCAATACCGCTTTTAAATTAAGCTTAGAGGAATCAATGAACAGGGCAAATCATTTGGATCATGTTTCTGTCCTAACGCGTCAAACAAATTGTTGACATCGGAGCAATATATCAACTCCCTTTCTTGACGGAAACAGTGTGTGGTGTTTTGTTGCCGTTTTCGGTAAAAAGTAATGTTAACATCACCGTGGAGAAGATTCCATCCTTTCAATCGTGACGCTTAAAGTTCTGACTGGGATCTTGACAGATTTAATTCTCGAACTAAGTCATTGAGTTTAGGCATGCACGATGGTCGTGCCAGGGTTAGAAGGCGACGTGGTGAAAGGAGGAATCCACAGTTTTTTGTTGAAAGACATATTCATCACACTGTTGGAGTTATGGTTTGGGGTGCTATAGCTTATGGTTCCAGGATACCTTTAATCTTCATCAGAGGTAACATGAACGCGCAGCGTTATATCCACGAAGTTCTAGAACCCCATCTTTTACCCTATCTTGACACCCTGGCAGATCCAACTTTCCAACAAGATAATCCCCGACCACATGTTGCAAGAGTCACAATAGTCTTCTTTCAACATAATTTTGTCACATTGTTACCATGGCCACCAAGATCTCCCGACTTATCTCCAATTGAGCACGTGTGGGATATGATGGGTAGGAGATTGCTCAATTTGCAACGTCCTCCTCAGACTCTAGAAGCACTTCGAGAGGAGTTGGTGGTTGCCTGGAATGAGATACCACAGGAGGACATTGACCACCTGATCAGAAGCATGCCTAGGCGCGTTGGAGAATGCGTAGCACATCAGGGTGCATCCACACATTATTAAAGGTCAAAGGGCTTTAAAGCAGTGCAATCATTTTGAAATTTTTATCATTTACTTATTATGCTTCATTAAGTACTTATACAAAATTTTATTAAAATAAAACCATTTAAACTAGGTGTTCGGATTTATATGTCACTTAGTATATATGAAACCTGTTAAAATTAGATACGTGAAAATTAACTTGGGTTACATTCAAACTAAAATATTATAAAACTGGATGCGAGCGACACTAGAGAAGAAATCCATCTAGCCATGAAAAAAAAAAACAAATGAAGCGCACAAGCATAAAATGTCAAATAATGACATGAGTTCTAACCTTACTACTACTACTGTTTTAGTTAATTTTGATAATTAGTTTCAAATTTATAAAGTGAATTGTGAGGAAAATGGGTAACTCAAAATTAGAGTATCGCAGGGTTGACATTTCTGATAAAAGAGCGTCATCAGCCAAAAACAATTCTTGAGAGAATGGTTGCCATCTATTGAGATGATGGACCATCATATTACACAATAAAATTTAGGTCGAAACAGTTTAGATGGGATCGTGAATCCATAGAACAGGATCCCAGAAGTGGAAGACCCAAAATTGCAACAAATGATGAAATGTCTCAAAAAGTGGAAGCTATGGTTCTCGAAGATCGTCGAGTAAAGGTCTCTACTATTAGTATCGCATTGAATATATCGGAACCCATCTTACACGCCAATTTGAACATGAGTAAGGTATCAGCCGGGTGGGCTCTACGACTGTTGACACCTGAACATAAATTGCGCAGGCTGCAAATTTCAGAAAGTCTGTTTGGCATAAATTGTGACGGGCGCCCAGACTTGGGTGCATCATTGGGATCCTGAGACAAAAACAGAAGTCAAATTGTACGAGCCTGTCTGACCAACATGATCCATTTAATTTTTACTGTTCTATGTATCTAGCTTTTCTCTCAAAGAGGCCAACTTGTGCTGAGCTCAATCAACCTACTTGATGCCATTTTTTACGTTAATCTTGATGTTGTTTTGGAGATGTGCTGTTATCATAATGTGTCTACGTGTAAACTGAAAATAACTGACCAGTTTAGGAGACATGATATTGAATAGCCATCAAAATGTATAAATATTAATGCTCTACTTAAAAAATACCAATGGGGTCGAAGAGGTCAGATGCTAATAGTTCAAAAATAGGCGATAATTGAATATGGATGTGACTGGCGATACATGCAAGCTGATATTACAGAAGGAAGTGATACTTTGACCCGTGTAGTAAATCTTGATTTTTATATCACTCACACCGCGAAGGCGTCATATACAGATAATGGATATAGATAGGGTACACAACTAGACAAACACGATTGGGTAGGTAAAAGGTTGTTGATTTCCCATTCAAAGCATTAAAAAAACATTGATAGTAAGCAGTTTAGTAGTTATACCTAATCACATTACGGCATGCGTAAGCGTTAACGTTATCCACTTACCAGTGGCGGTGCTAGATCATATATGGACGTCGGTGACAGCTTTGCGAGGTCCCTTCTATTTCCCTGCAAAAAACAGTTAAATTGAATGAGCCGAATTATACACTAATATATTAATATATGCGTTTTATTGCTAATCGGAAGATGACTAGCGACACACTAGCGGCTACCTAGTTAGTGCACAAGTTGATATGTTACTGACTTTTTGACATTATATATGTTTTTTACGTAATAATCCTGCGGTTCTACTTTGAAAAATAATACGCTATAGATAGGCAGTGAAAATTGCGCGTGGTGTGTTTTGAGATTAATCTTAGCTCACCATAGCGTTATTTAATTAATGACTATGTTTTATGCTCATTCAGTGTCATCAGCAGCACATAAATTTAAAACACACTATATGTTGGTAATAGGACATTCTATTTTTAAATGCACTTTTCATTCTAGAAATGTTGCTACGTTTTTTCGAATCACCCTGTATACATGAGATTTTAGACAAATGCTTATGTCAAAATTTCTTAGAAATCGTGCTATTATTTTATGTTTCTTATTTTAAATATGCTCCGAAAAAAATATCCCAGCATTTAGGGGCGTCATATTTCTGGATATTCTACTCTGAAAATATTCACAACGTTGTTGTTAATCACCTCGTATATATAATTACGATACAGTACAGTAAAAAATTAACCTCTAAGTCCAAATTACGAGTTTTAGAAAATAAATTTTCTTTAGATATGTAAGCAACTACTGAATCTCATAAATATATTTTAAAATAAACATAAATAAGAATGATTTCAGTTTGTTGACACTTATTTCAAAATGACGATTCAACAGTATTATGAATAACAGTGAATTAATAAGACAAGGCTTATCAATACTGATTGTAGTGAAATGTAAAAAACAGCGTAATAAATTAAATAATGCAATCATTACACATGTTTTAACATCCTGTCGCCAAATGTTATCGCGGCATTTGCATTTGGAGATTCCTGATCATTTGTTTTCTTCATGAATGACACTTTATAACTTACAAGCTCATCTAAGTGGCACATAGACTGCCAAATGAGGAGTCAAAGTTCAAGCGCCACATACTGATTTGAATTTTCTGAGACAGAACGCCAGAGCTCCATATGCTGTTGGAATCCGTGGGGGGAAATACGATTTTGACATAGTTTTCATCTTACTCGGTCAGTGATATCTTCCCTCGGTTCAGGTTATAAGAGAATATAATATTTTGCAAAAACTCTTGCTAAGTTGGGTGAAGAATTAGATCATCTGGGACACAAGAGCCGTAACACCCAGTATAGTCGCCCAATTCCATTGTCCATTCTGTTGTAATACCATACGTGCCCGGTATTGGAATACGAACGTTTATAGTTCAGGGCACCACAATGCTTTTTCGCCTTTAGACTTGGCCTAGAATAATTTTTGGATGCTCCTAAAAATGATCAATAGCACAAAACGTACAAAACTGCTTTGTTTTTAACACACACCTCCACTGGAACTGAATCGATTTTAAAAACATTAAATTTTCATCAAAATTGTAGTGATTCTTTCTGGTGAAAAGGGGCCAAAAGTTGGCGCATAGTTAAGCGAAATGCAAGACAGAACCAACGGAAATGAGTGGGATGATTTTTACTTCCTAAGCCACTGGGCGACACCACGAAAAAACACGTAACTCATTTCTGTCTGTCTGTCTATCTGTCGGTATGTCCGGTAATCTTTGGAAAATAAGTACTTCTCGGATTTGGATGAAAATTTTGCACAAGCTAACTAATGTGCCAAGGACGAAAAAACTGTAGTTTTTGAAAATCGGTCCAGTGACTTCTGACGCTTCAGATCCTGATCATTTTTGAAAAGGGGTCAACAATTAGAGGGTGGGGGTTGTATGGAGAAGGAGAAGACATATCTCAGTGTTTTGATAAATAGTATATTTAGATGCTTCCAATCCCGGTAATTATACGCACCTATTAGCCAAATTTCACACATCATAGGTTTCCCTGGACACTTGTCTTTAAAATAGAATGATACAGAAATTTTATCGATTCGCCTCTCCTTCTGCTATCTCAGCGCCTGGCGCGTAACGGTCTGCTTGACGCGTGATGAAGCGGTGCTTCGGTGGGCGCTGCCGCGTCTGACGATATGGAAAGAGACAACGTAGCCAGGGGGACGGTAACTACCGGTAAAGCAAGGAAAGAATGTCTATGGACTAATTGTATGGGCCTGTTTGACTGACTTGATCCATTTAATTGCTCTATTGTACATGTCCATAACTATTTTTATCTTAAAGAGTTTATCTTGTGATGAACTTGATCCTTTATGAACTGATAAGGGCGTTGCGTGGGAAGTGCAGAGTCAACTTACTTGACGCAATTTTTGTGATGTCATATTTACGACAACATTATTTCATTCTGAAACAATCACATATTTTAGAATCTTTCTGTACATACTTTTGTCAATCGCTATTCTTTTTATTGGAACAGAATTCGAGCTTCCAAAATTTTTTGAAAAAAAAAGAAAATCCCCATAAAGGATACTTCCAGGGATTTTAAAACTTGAACAACAGCAATTGTAGGGTGGCAGTTGAGGCTAGATGGTTATTTTATACAGATTACCTAAAACCTTAACAAGTAATCTACAAAGTCGTATAGGATAGTAGTTTCAAAAGTTGAATTTCAGATTTTTATTGTGTACTAAAATAAAGAACCACTCTAAAGTGGTATTTTAAAAAAGCAGATAATATAAATCCAGCAGAATTACCTAACCTTCGCTTAGTTGAACTATCCTGTAAGTTGTTATAAAAGCATCTTCAACTGCTTTCAATGAAAATCCGCCACAATACTGGATTGCTGATGATACGGTTTAGCACACTGACCACGGTCATTTCGTGATGCCATGCCTCTTATCAGTGTATGATGAACACTCTAACTTATCTAATTCAAACACTTCCAGAAATGTTTATTTTGTGATACGAGCTTCTATGAAATATCACTTTACGTTAGCATGCACATTTTGTGCCTGACTATTTTAGGTTCTTGTGAGCAAAAAGAAAAAACATTTTTCAGCATATTTACAGAATACACAATTCCTACGAATTTAAATTTTTGGTACTGCTTTTATACTTTTAAGTTGAATTTTGAAACGGTCGAAAATTTGCTTTCGCGGTTTTCAAGCACTTACTTCAGATTAAAGCGTAATGAATAACATTATTTTGGCGCTCGAACATTTCCATTCTTCAGCGAGTCTCATTTCTGACATATAAAAATACTGATACTCAAACAGAACTCGTGTATCAGGGATTCTCAATTTGCACGCATAGGAAATTGGAAAAAAGGGAAAAGGTGCCTGCATGGGAGGTACTGGGCCAATATACAGGATGTTCCTCTTAAATGGGCATAGTGAAATCGTACTTAGCATGGATCGAGGCTTTTTGATATGTGACAATAACAAATTTCTAAATTCAATTTTTACGGATATACACGGTGGTTCATCTGATCACGCAAAATCTTTAATATCACATATCTCAGGCACTATTGAACCGATTTTGTTGAAATTTTACACGATAATAAAGTTACCTAGGAGTAACGTAAAACTAGAGACGGTTAAAAGATCCAGGGAGGACTCGCTTTTTTCACGTTTGTGCTTATTTATTAAAATCGACATCTTTTAACCAGAATATTGAAATGTTTGACTATGGATAAAAAAAGCCAACGAAAGCATTAGGTTTAGAGGTCTTCAATTTGTTAAGGACTTGAAAAGATTGAGTAGAATAGTTTTTTTTACACTCCGGCTTTTGGGAATTATATATTAAAAATGAATACCTCAATGAAGACCTATTATTGTCATCATTACTATTATTATAAAATTTTGAATGAACAGAACGTAGTCTTTCTTCATGATTTGATTTTAGATTTAGTGCTCAAGTATCCTGCCAACATAATGATGTCTGATTGATAATAATCTATATATGAGAGCAGTCAAGTGTTTAGATAAAGTGTGAAGCACCGCCATTTATATCAATGAAATTTAATATGCGAACATTTCTGAGCCGGTCTGACAAAGTGCAACGAACCACAACCACACTCGCAGAACAGCTGATCTGCAGTACGCCAGGATTGATGGTTCACGGGTTGCGAAGTTCGAAAGTGTATGCCTGCTTTTCAATTTAATATCCACGCCAAGCCGGGAAACAAATGGAAACGCATCAACTGGAAAATCCGAACGAGGCCCTTTTTCACTCACCGATGCGGTGGTGCCAGATAGTAATGAGTTCAAAGGCGTTTGTCTTGATATAACTTCAAATCATCTAAAAATGTATGGTCTGATTTTGCTAAGTTTTTCTTAAGCATAACACATTGGATTTATTGCAGTGGATCCGAAAAGATATTCAGGATGTTTAACGTAAGGATAGAGTTCAGTCTCGGGACTCTTTCGCGCCACGGGCCGTCGGTCATCTAGCTCTCTTCTATCGCTATGTCACAACGACTTTGCTCCTCAGAGCTCTCCTCAATTATGCCGCCACGCGATGTGGCTAGTGGCTGTCATACAGACCTGCCTGACTTCAGCCTCCCATCCTAAGCGTGTCGAACTTTGTATATCAAGAACTGGCCGATCCGACTGTTCCGTTGTTCCTAGGGTAACGAGGATGTGGTCTTTTTCTTCGCAGCTACTGAACCGATTCTCCAAAACTACAAAGCTTTTTCGTCCTTAATAAAGTAGTAATTTTGTGTAAAGATGTCATCAAAATCCGAGAGGTACTTCTTAAGCTATAGGCAGATATAGGATTACCGGGCAGATAGACAAACCGGAGGACATAACGACAGACGGAAATGAGTGACATAGTTTTATATAACATATATGTTATATAACATATAATAGCCAAAAACATAATATCTCATGAAATAAGACAGCGCAAGACGCCAGCTATCACAACAGAATCGACCACTGCGGAAAGTGTGGTACTACTCGTATTAGAACTGGGATCTCAGCTCGCGTTTAATAGCCCAGACACCTCGTGACCGCTAGATGACTGACGATTGTGGCTGTAAAGTAGATGTGGTCTACTTGTCATTGAATAAACATCACAGAACTGTAAAAAATGACTTATGTCAAGTGATTTTGATTCCCACTACACACTGAAAATTAGAAGGCAAATACATTTTTGACTAGCTCCTTCTACCTATTCGTTGACTACAACGGCAACCGTGTTTTCAATTCACTTCGGAAAATGGAAACAGCAGCAAAGCAGCATCGCAGAAAGGCAGGCATCGCAAGTACCTGAGAGACAGAAATATAGGGGCATGAGAAGTCGATGTGAAAGATGAATACGAAATTTGTTAAGAGAACATTAGATCGACATTGATGCATGTACTGAAAAAAACTAACCTTCCAGAGAAAAATTATAGTTGGACCAAAAATAAAGTGTGCAAATAGATATCAGCTCGGTACGTAGATCTATCCGAGGCATTGGGGAAACATTTTATCCAAATCCATGCAGTACTTTCCAAGTTATTGAAGGACCATATAATATAAAAAAACAATTTCTAGCATTTATCCGATTTCTTACACTATCGACATCTCTTGCTGAAGTAGTTTTTTTTATACTCCAACCACCTCGAAGGCCTAAGGCCTAAACACCCATGGGGTACCGTGGGGCTATAGGAGGATACAGGGGAAAGGGGGGACGTCACACGGACTCTAGCGAGGGAACACGTGTGCATGCAACATGCACACATTCTGGCCCCGCCTACGAGATCCGCCGGGTGGTACCTCCGCGTTCGACAGTCAGAGACCGTCTACCACCTACGGACAATCACATCATCCATAGCCCAGAGAAAAATTTCTCCTGGGACGGGAGTCGAACCCGCACAGCGCACGGCGACTGATCAGGCGACCGAAGAGTCCACTACTGTGGCCACCGCTGCTGCCTGCGTGTAAATTAATATCTACCCATCTTTTGAAAACATTTACAGATTTTGACGATAACTTTTGAATGGTTCGTTCCAGATAGACTCGTCCAAAAGGTGGTTGACATTGATGATGAAAAAACTATCGATTTTGAGAACCCATCAGTCCGCCATTTCGAAACGCATCAATCTCGTTATTTGTAAAAAAACGCCAATCGGCCAAATATGCATTAAAGAAATGAATTGCCAATCCTGGTATGGTGAGACTTTTAAGTCCGCACTGTATATCCAGAGCGGATACGTACCGTTTAAAATTGAAATTAGGGTCAGCGCTGTGAATCTGCCAACTCATACGGCCGCTATAGGGGCTCAGCCGCCTGCCGGTTTATAATCGCATACGTGCTGTACCTTACTGATTAACTTAAACAAACATTATCTCAAAAATGTACTTCCGCTGACATAGTTTTTATCAACTTCCTCGCACGCGTAATATCAGGCTACGTGACGTCATAATATGCCAAAAGTGGTGAGCAACCTGGCAATGTTATCGTTTCGATCTTGTAGTAATATCTACATATAGAAAGCAGTGTTATGTTAATAATATCTAATAATAATAATAATAATAATAGTATTTGATTGTCCAAAAAAATCCCTTCACAGAGCAAGATACAGTACAATTTCGTGAAAACGTCAACCAATTGATGTGACAAAAAAATGAGATGTGAGAGAAAACGGTACACAATATCATTACTGAAATAAATGGTTACATTACGACTTATTTATGTAGATTTCAGTCAATTTATTATTTTATGTGAATACAGCTTATGCTTATGCCGAAACACAGTACTGTACTTTGACTAACAAGACGCGCCTTAGCGGTCATGTGCTCACGATGGATGGCAGAATTCTGCCAAAGAGTCGTTTATTTCGGCTGGTCAGAGTCCAGATCACCGAGGACTTGATCTATTGCTCTCATGTTTAGGGTGCTGCCGCCCCGACCGCCCCGAATACATTATCGACGCTCGATGCTATTCAGAGGACCATCCGACTGACCGATGACTGTTTTCTAACGGACAGTCTCAGAATCCGGCGGCGATATAGCTTTGCTCTACCGCTACCCCAACGTGCTTTGTTTCTCAAAGTCTCCTCCATTATGCCGTGAAGACATGACTACCCATCCTAACAGTGTCAAACTTCGCACATCCGGAACTGGCCGATACGACCGCTCAAAAATCGGATTCACAAAGTTTCTTGAAGCTTTTCATTGCAGTCGCGGTGCCTGGTAGTTAGGCTTCATTATTAAACAAACTACACATTACATTCATCGGTGACTTAAGCAGCAAGTTAGTTCTATGGGTATTGCAGTATATTAAGTTACACTTACCATGTTTACATATGTGGGATTCAGTTCAAACTCAGTTCGATCGTGGTATTGAAAACTGCATGCAAACGCTCGAGAATTAGGGACGAAAGTGGATTAAGTTTCAAGGCCGATATGGCTTTTTCGTGGGGTCGGGTGTGGATTGTGTCGGACTGAAATCCATGTAAACGGGCAACGGTATTGAAATGATTGTAATGACCGACATAACCTAAACATGTGCATGGACGCCCGCAGGAGGAGTGCCAGGGTGGGAGGAGGGCGAAGCTCTCCCTGAGAATCGGCATGGGTATTACGTATCTTGAAAAGTGACGTCATATCGATGAGGTTTAAGTCATCAATGTTTGTTTCGGATGTGATGTAAAATCTGCTTCAGAGATGGCATTACTGGAGGCCTAAGCTGTAACTTGTATGTGTTGATGATAATTCCATTGAATTCTTGTCTCAAATACACTTAATTGAGATTCACAGCTAGAAATTAGTTGCGCATCCACTTAATATACCGGATAAGAAATAATTATATTCACTGTACACTGTCGAATTACAAGCCATACAATCGTACATGCTAACATACAACGCGAGCGCGGTGATGATTTCCCGTAATTCTCTTCAAAGTTTTTCGTAATTTATAACTTTGAATATAACCTGTCTTCAGACAGGACAACATATAAATAACCCGTCGGGCACAGCTAATAGATATACTTCATTCATATTCAGTAATGATTTTCTCACACAGCAAATATCACTGAATTTATACATATGCAGACCAATACACGTATAATAATCCAAATAAGATCTTGCTATTCAACCAACTTTCTTCTCAGAGATAAAAACTACAGACACAGACCACTCGGCCTCACAAAAAATATGCAACCAACAATGCGTGTGGTTAAGTTGAGTGATTCCTCCATAGATGGACGTTCACAACGATCCTAGTGAGCAAGCGTGGAATGACTATTTGCGCTCTAAAAACTACATAGTCTGCAAGATGAAATCTTATAGGTTTTTTGACGTTTTATAAGTTTTTTTACATAATAACCGCGGCGGTTGGAGTTTAGCATTTGTATACTTACCATGCTTTTCTGTCCAATTTTGGAGATTTGGTGAGAATTAAACATCATAAGGCAACTGAACTGTAAAAAGCCAATAAAGTCCTATGAAAAATCGACACAGGACACAAAATTACAGAAGATGAATAGTAGGGGAAAATGCGATAAAACTACTACTATATGATTCATAAACTGCAATTATAGCAAACATTTTTAATACGAGTAATAATGACACGATGAATTTGTAATAACATAAATAAAATTGTAGCAAAATAATAATTATGAATTACATGATTGAAGATGTAAAATTATTTGTTTTATAATGGTTAGAATAAGAAGAACTATGCGGTTGATTTCGGCTAGCTTTGAGACCGCGTAATATCAGTAACCGACGGCGATAGACCGATTTTAATCAAATTGATAAAAAACACTGTACTTTTGGAAAGGACGAAACGTGATTCAAGAGGAAGATGAATAAAGCAAGAAAATGTAACATTTCGAACCACCTCCAAACATTAATTATTAGTCCCGGGTCTTGACGTAAAGTATTTCACAAAGACCTATAAACGTTGTTTGTTACACCAGAAAATGCGCGCACAGGCTTCTACAATAGGTTAGGTTACTGTCAAACCTCAGAAGAAGGTCTCTTCCAATATTTATTTTAATATTTTGTTTTCATTTTGAATACAATTATTTACCTCAATTCTGATGTGGCTTAAGTGTTTCAATTTATTACAGAATAATATTTGATTTAACCGATGGCGATAAAATCAACACATCCCAAGTTATTGTTACATTTTGCGGCAGCGAGTGGTCGGAAATGTAACAAATACCATTACGCAATACAAATTATCAGTGCCTTCATGTACGCAGGTGAAAACCAATGATGCAATGTTGCAGAATTTGACCTTCCATTTCGACCTAAAGTGGAGCGCCGAAATAAAAACCATTATTTGGGCGAAGAGAATATACTAACGCATATTTTCAACATGCATCTTAATTCAAGCAGTTGGTGTAACATATTGACAACGCAACAGATTCCCATGTCGGCGTTGCTAGGTAACGCGGTGATTAGTTTCGCTATGCCGGCTCTATCTATACGTACTTCTCTCTCGCACACATTGAACTCAAGCAGTCAGACAAATTTGGTTCTGAGAGTATGTAATTTTGAAATATGTCAAGATGGATGGCACAACTATGAAGGCATAATTCCCATTCTCATGTCTCTCTATAGACTGAAACATAATAAAGGTTTACTAAAACAACAAAACAATGATTCAACAATAATAACTGTCAATTAAACAGCTGCATTTGATCTAATAATACTGAATGAATTTGCGTCCCTATTGGAATGCTCCACAAATCCATATTTACTAGTTTAATCATCCAGCCAGACGGGTGGGTCATCGACTCTCTTAAAATAAATTTTCCTTGTGCGAAATCGTACAAAGATTTACGAGCTTTTAAGTAGGGTATTAATACGTAGTAAAAGGAACGCGTAAATGGAGCTAAGGTATTATTAAATACATACGCATAAAAAGTGTGTCTTGAAATTAAACGATAATCATACAGCGTCAAATAGGTCATATCAAGACCTACTGAATGGCAAAAGCTTTGTTTTATCAAAATTATTGTAGAATCTCAGCATTTATTTTTTTATTCAAAAACTGGCTTGCATTCAGTTAATTCCTTGACATTCCTACAAATAACAAGCTTTTTGGATCAGGTTTGTTTTAGAAGGATGGCGAGAAATTATACGAAAGTTTAAATTTTAATGAAGACGTGTCTTACGACTGACTTTGACATCCTATTGTATGAGAGAATCAAGTATGATCACTTGATGACCAATTAATCGTAAATGTTGGTTGGTTATTGTCAATCCTCGAATAGTATTATTTTTATTCGCACTCTGCTGTCATTTTCCTTTTATTGGAGTTATAATGGACGAGAGCCAGTTTTCGAAAATATCAAACAATTGCATTTTATGGATTGGAGACAAAAAATGACGTCGAGTAAGTTGGGTATGTCGCAACGTTGTCATCAGGATTGCCGCAAGTTTGCCCTTCTGAGAAAACAGCTACGAACATGTGTAACAAAAAATAAATGACCTTCCTCGTTGCTATGACTAATCCCGCGTGGATGACGATATTGACTTTTACAGCGTACATCCCACTGCAGTAGGGTAGCGACTGCCGACCGCGACGCACGCCCATTAGCCGGATCGCGGCGCACGTATAGATACGCGACTCTTGGAGATATTTAAGTGTAAATGTATGGGCACATCTATGATGAGTGAAATAGGAGCGTAGGATTACTAGCGTTAGAGGCATATAAATATACCAACGTAAATAAAATTGAGATATACCCTCACCCACCCCCTGCAACGACTAACCGAAATTTTTAACCACTACAAAAACGTTTCCGAAAATGTTTAGTGAAGCCTTTGAAACGCCGAAAAACGAAGCGTTTATTTTTTTCGTTTTTGGCCTTTTTCTCTGCCGCCACTGGACAGATTCTCAAATAGTACAAGACTTTTTTGTCCTTAGCATACTAGCAACTTTGTGTGAAAATGTAATCCAAATCCGAGCAGTTATAGACAGACGGTCCAAGGATTAGCGGACAGACAGAAAGACCGAAGTAAATGGTTTTTCGTGTCATATAACATCCAAAAAACAATAACTCATCTTCGAAAATTTTCGCGTTTACAATACTTCCTTGCCAGTAGGTGTGGGAAGTAAAAGCCGAGCAGTTGAGCTCAACCAAATGACACTTAGGTTTTTTTTTGTAGCTGAGTCAGAATCGGAGGTCACTTAGTCGATATAGGGGCATTTGAAGGTTATTTCAGTGTCCATTCAAGAACGAATTCAAAATAACTATAGAAATTGACGTATCATATAGGTTTTTGTAGTTATTGAGTTCGAATCAGAGATGAGTTTGGAAGTTATTTTAACAACATTCAAAAGACAAACTCAAAAATTGTTAACTAATCGATTTTGACCACCTGCCATATGACACCACATAAAGGTATATTTCTGAATAGTTGAAGTTGTAAAAGTTAGCAAGAACTGACTAGATTTTATATGACAATATCTACTTCAGACATCACAAACATCATCAAACCCCATTCGGGCAAAGGGTGGAACCTTATTATAAATATCTCTGAACAACACTAATATGAAAAAGTAATCAGCAGACATACATGAATGCAACAAAAATATCTACTGATTATTATATCAAATGAAAGTTTGTACCCTCTATTATGATCCATATTCAGTTGTTCAAAATTATCCAACACGTTTTGCAATAAAGGTGCTCACAAACTTCTTTCAAGCCATGATAAGGGTAGAGTAAGCAGAGCTTTTTTCCATGGTCAACTTATTATTGGAGGCATTCACTTTGAAATGTGAATTTAATTCATTTTCGTTACTATATTTTTTGGCGGGTTTTCGTGTAAACTGACCGCTGTACGTCGTGAATGGTTATTAAAACTCACCCATGCAACTTCCTTCTCTTCACATCGTATCACAAAAACTACGCCGGAAATACAAATTGTCAGAGTACCAGAGAAAGCGGTCGACGGCGCATTTCGACGTATAAAATCACGAATGTTTACATCTTCCTCACGCGCGCCAAAAATATCACCGAAAATAAGAAAACCGAAGTCTACGAACTTTCAAATACTGCAAACGTCTGGGATGTGACTAGTTCCTCAGAGCGCGCGAGGATGCCAGACGCAGACCGTCACGCCGAAAATCGCGGTAGGCTATGAACGATCCGGGCATGCGACATTGCCACGTTGCCATGTCTAATTTTCTGGTTACACGAAGCAATAGTAAGTTCTAGCATCACATTTCCAATAGTTTGACATCCGATTGTGAACTCCTTCAACGCGCATGCGTTGTCAAAAGGTCACTTTCAAACGGTTTTTAAATTTGATTCTGATAGAACACGTTTTTCTGTCAACATACGTTTGAATAGACAGTGACAGCATTGCATTTGACGTTTAGATGAGATTCTATTGTTTCGTTCCTCATTGTTACGCCATTGACTGACGGTTCCAGATATTCTAAGCTCTTAAACTTGATTGTATTATGTAGAATAAACAACTAATCGTTATATTAGATCTATCTGCTACATCATGAAATGATGATGTTTCAGGTCCGGTGAACCTCAAAAAGATGAGTGTTTGCTCATAAGCAGAACATTTCTCATTGCCTCCAGTCGTCTTTTTAAAGAGCATGCTTTGTTCGTATTTGAGATATCTTCAGCCACTTTGCGAGTCACTCTGAAATGTTCCAATTCACTTCCTTTGTAAAGAGGTACCATTACATTTATGTAATGCTAATTTTTTTTGTTTTTTTCGATGAAGAAGCAGTATGTGTAGAATGCTTTCACTCAACATGAGAGATTCAATCTGATTCTGAACTTAAACTATAAGCAATACAAACAGGTATACACAATAAAAAACTAGTACACCAAAGTTTATTAAAACAGTTATCTGGCTTCAATAGCAGAGGGCACATTTGACATCCAGAACCGCATAGAAACCACCACCTGTGCAAGGTTGTTATTGGTCTTAACTGTAAGAGTGACGCCACGAAGGGCCAAACGTCATCATTTGACAGCTGTTACAAACCGCGTCAGTTAAAATGAAAAAGTTAAAACCACACATGATCTATTATGATTGGAAGACCGCTTAAAATTGCTTATGATGTTTTAAAATTCTTATAGTTCGCAGATACTCTATCTTTTACTGTATGCGCCGTGACCAAAGGTCCAAGTTTGAAGTACTTTGAGTTTTTATTACAAGTTTTTATTTGACCTGTTTGTATAGGTATTAGTACGTATGTATATGTAGGATAAATCCTGGAACCGAATTTTGAACTAGTTAACCTTAACCAATTGAGCTCAAATTTTGTACACCAGTTTGGTTTGTGTGACGATACAAAATTAATTAAATGCAGCCATTTTGAATCCAATATGGCGGATGCGACAAAAAGGCGAGTCATCATTTCCATAGTAACCCCTGATATCAAATGAAAGGGTTGATAAGAGAAACGCAAAAGGCACGTCATTCTAAACCTAATATGAAGGCCGCCGTAAAATTGCGTTTTACATTTTTCACAATTACTGCCATGATATGGATATCAAATGAAAGGGCTTGATGACAGAAACGCAATAAGCAAAGTCACCTCATTCTAAATCAAATATGGCATGTCGACTGCTTTGGTTCAGCAACGTTGACAGATGGTCGTTACTTAGGACAGGGAAGAAAATAGCGTTAGCAAATGGGTGGAGATTGTTGAGTACGGACTAATTGTGTGGGACTTTGTGGCAGACTTGAACCATTCAATTTATTTATTATATATCTTTGTAGCTAGTTCAGAGTGACTAATTTTTGCCGAATTTATGACCTGATGAAGTGAAGAGACATCTTTCGACGTCATTTTTTCTTATTCTGATTGGAGGAGCAGGGCGAAAGTTTTAATGTCTAGCTTTCTGAATTTAGCATAAAATGATACTTTTTCCTCAATTCGGCAACAATGTATCGACGTAGCCGGCGTCGCGTCGGGCGTCGCGTTTGCTGTAAATTAATATTGACAGTGCGCCCAGCCGGCATGGGTATAGCCATGGAAATACCGAAACAAACGACGATCGGCCGAGTACAGTTTTACTCTGCCATTTTTGCAATATTTATCGGCATAATAATAAAAAATGCTGTAAATGATATACACCAGCCAAGAGAAAACACAAGGGGCACGTGCCCAGCGTCCGAACCTGATGCAGGACCCCAACTGCCCAAAAATGAGATGGAGTAAAAATCTGACTGTTCACTCCCATCCCCCACTCATCCAACGGCAAAGATGGGTCATAGATTTCGTTCTGTCCTCCGCCCCTTTCAGCTGCCGGCGTAAGGCCCCGAGCTCCTGTGAGTCCAGGGAGACCTACATGTCTATATCATGAACATCGTAAGTTTATAATAGTGTAGCTAATAATCTGTGGTTTATATGCATTTTTTGACAAGTGACATTTCTCGAGGAACTCGTAGGCCTCCCAAGCACAACGCGGGTCAAAAATAATTAAAAGTCGCGTGAATTCGGTCTGTTTCAAAAGTAAGGCTAAATCTTTAAGTCGGGTGGCGGTTTTTAGATTCATTCTAAGCAAAAAACTTCATACAAACGTATGTCCCAGAACTCCTAAATTTTGAGATCCGGTGTTACAGGTTGTTGGATTTTAGATAGCTTTAATGAAAAATACATCAATGCTTATTCTCGCAGTAATAATTATTATTATAATATTGTTATTCACTTCTGAGCTTTGGTCTCTTCATTTTCTTTTCAACCGCTCACGGTTTTCGCGTAAAAATAACATGTATTTTAATGCACCGTTATATGGCTATAATGTGGAAATAGATCATACACAACATAATAGCATCATACAGCTTCTTATTTTTTACGCAAAAACTGTAAAGTCGAGAAAAGGGAATCAAGGAATCACGTTTCCACAGAATCATAATTATCAAAAAAAAAAATGTGAGAAAAGTAGTCAACATACCATACCATATTCGTATTTAAAACCATTTAACTAAGTCCCGATTGGAAGAAAGAGGAAAAATGTGCATGAGAAACTGCGGTATCATATACAGGGTGTTCCAAATTCTACCCTCACCATTGGAATCTCGAAAACTGTAACAACAACAATGTTCAAAGAATAGTCTGGTTTTGCCTACAAAATAATGTTTTGAACATCTTCCATGATTTATCTCTCCTTATTTATGATTATTACTGTTATTACCATCAATAAAATTTTCATGTTGTGTTCAGGTTTCACCATACCTTTTTTATTTCCTTATAATTTTAATCCAACACTAAATTCATGGCCAGCTAAGGAAATACATCACTGAATTCAGGACAGAAAAGTCCATTTAAATCTATACAATTCCAATATATCGTTCATATGGAAAAATAAGTTGGTGATGGAAATCGAAAGGAAAAATATCGAATTGAAAATTTGAATAAGTCATCTTGCAGAGGAGAATAAGTAACCGTGACAACATACAGTTTATTTTGAAATCCCATCTCAAATAAAATCAGGAGAAAGTGAGTGATTTCGGGATAAAAAGGTTGGCAATGTCATTGTATGAAGTATTATATACTTTTGGGATGTGAATTAAAAACTGTTTATCCGTGAAAAAATCAAATATTGCGTCCATAAGAAAAAATAAAGTTGTTGCTGGAGGACAAGAGAGGAAACGTCATATTGAAAGTCTAATTATGCCATCTTGTAGAGTATAATAATAAAGTCATGAAAAAATTGAACCGATTTTGGGAAAATTCGGTTTTCCGTCTCTTCCTGGAAGTTCTTTGAATCTCGCAACTTTCTAAGCTGCATTTAGTTTCCGAGACACTAACGGTGAATGAAAATTTGACACGTATGGGACACAAATGACAAAGATAACACCTATTATGGTACATAACCGCTTGTTGTTGATTAGCTTATAATGATCGTTTGCTGACAATTCCATATAGTCAAGTAGTGCCAATATAAATTTTCATTGCCTTAAAAAAACCTTAACTTCCAAAATTCAATTACATTAGATTATAGGACGGAAATCAAACTCCAACAGATAGTTTGTGTGTGTGGTGACCCTTAAACCGGCGCGGGGCCCTTATGAAATCGCTCTTTCGATAATCCGGCCTGTAGGAAACATTGGATGGAAGGTAGTAGGTAGTACATGGGTTTTCCAATTATATTTCTTTCCTTTTCACATTTTAATAAGGCTGTAGTCGGGAGCACTGAATATTATGAATAGTAAGCAACGAATAATGAAAGAGGCTATCGGAAACATCGGAATATTTGAATAAAGATTGTTTTCCAACTAAAAACACTATTTCCATTCTATAAAAAATTAGTACCCTTCAGATCTACCAAATCAGGAGCAATCAATCTATTTTGCTAACCAACCAGGTAGCACCAGCACGCGAAAGTGACGTTAAAAACTGGTAATGAAACGATGAAAATTCCTTAGTTCAATGACGTAAAATTAGCGTTAAAATGACCTCCTAATATCACATACCGATGACGTCATACGGCACACGTAAATCATACGTCATTTGCTGGAGGAGAAGAATGACGTCTGTTATTTATAATAAATAAACAGTTTTAGCTTTTAGTGTTACCAGTAGTAGACGGAGCACCATAGCCTATAACTTGTAAGACTGGCTCGATTTGCACGTTATTTGAGGTGTTAACACTACACTGATGTTACCATTACCATTTTTACACGATATGAGCTATGCTTAACACATATGGTATTAAATACAACACGTCAGGTCAGACTGAAACTGTATTCAAAATAACCAATTTTTCTATAGTTTTGGGTATACTCAGTAATTGGAACGAGACGCGATCACCGGGCACAAATGGCGGGAGCACGGAGGGAATAACGTCGATTGGAGTGAGCCGCAATTGTTGTTCACTGTCAATTGTCACTCGATACAGCGTTTCCAGATCAAAATATATATAATAATAGTCTTCAAAATCACGCCAGATATATAAACAAGAAATGGAGTACGGTAAAGTTTTGCAACACCTCAATAAGTTGTTATTTCAGATAACTTTGAGTTGCTTTGAGTTAACGTCGATCAGGGAGGAAGTGAGAT